TGCTTAACGTCATGCAACAGATTGTTCCTCAGCCAGCACTGTCAATAACACGTTGGCAAGATAGCGTCGGAAAATAAGTTCAAAAGTTATACTCAAAGCCTGTTAGGCCAGGATGTCTCAAGCCCATGCAGCCCTGATGCACGATTGGCTGATCTCGGCCAATCCCGTTCACAGCTGGCGATTGACATAGCCCAGTCTGAACCACTGACGGCCGGGCTACAGGACTCAACCTGAACGACTTGCCTACCTGGGGCTGTAGCCCCTGCTTTCACTTGAAAGATGTTTGGCTTTCGGTATAACTGTGAAGCTACAACCACACGAGTGTGACCATGGCCGTGGTTGGGAGTTTGGAGGAGACTCTGAGCGACGCGCACTTGCCCTGGGGGGTTTTCAGGGCAGAACGAGAAAGAAAGTGTTCAACTCTGGAGCGTTTTGGCCGAAAGTGGAAGTAGGGGGGGCTCGGAGGGAGTGACATCAGGCAGAAGGCATTCTAATCATTAACATCGCAAACACTTCAACAGGGTTCCTCGTTATATGTACAGTGTAGGCGCCAATAATTAACTCCGGAATGTCAATTCAGAAAAATGAAGTCAGCGGGGAAAAAACACGCAGAAGTATAAAAAGAAGAGTCGTTTGCAAGAGCCAGGAGAGGTAGGCCTTCAGCTAGCTGTCTAGGATCGGTTTCTTCCAGATCTGTTTCACATTAAAAGCGGATACAGTGTTAGAAAGCTTTACCACACCCATGTGAAGTACAGCTCAATGGCGTGGCTCAGCCGAAAACGAGACCAAATTTAATCAAACCGGCTGAGAAGATTTAAGGATCCAGGAGGCCTTATGCACAGCTGAGCAGGGGCATAAGGCTGTGACCGGACAGTGTTCGATCCCCGGGTTTGCTATTGACTGCTCGGTAACTCAAGTTCACTTCATGCACTTGGTTTCTGTACCTGACGGGGTCTGTTTGTATTTGTCTGGTATCTGCCGTTTCCCTAAATATTTTGCAGTTTTGAAACGAAAGACGCACACAAACTCGTGAAGTTAGAAGAACCTGCAAGAAATGATTAAAAAAAACTGTTCAAACTTTCTTTTTAAAAATAAACAGGTTGTTCGAGTGCTACAATATGTAGTTTGGTGCTAATGGAATTACGAATAAGACACTATTAGGGGTTAACTGGAGAGTAGATGGAGCTTTAGTCCTTTAAAATAGTCTAAAATAAAACAGGATCATCTTGCTGATTACACGTGTTTTTAATTTTAATACTTTTTTTCTTCCAAACTAAGAATTTGCCTTCCTTAAATTACTATATTTCTAAGAAATTTCAGTGCGCTTAGTGACGCGCGTTGATCATTAAGAAGCCTTTATTGGCCAAAAGGAAACAGTTCAGACTTTTTGATCCGCTCTCAATTTGCGCATTGATTCATTTCAATTCGGAAACAACTTGAAAGAGCGCAGTCTGATGAGTCTGAGGCCAGCTGGCAGCCCTGCGACTCTGCCCCCCAAAACGATCAGCTAAAAACAACAGGCTGGAACTGCAGATGTCACTGCTCTGAGCAAAAGGACTTTTGTATAAACCGCGGCCCAGATGTCTTAACAATGTATTTACACTATCCCAGAATAAGTTTGTATCGGCCAGTTGCCATAACAGTTGAAATACATGCACCCAGGCATTGATGTAATACAAATCATTTTCAGTGAGACTCAGAATTAAGGTACCGATATGATTACAAAGACATTTGGCAGTCCATGTCCCACCCAGCCCCCCCCCCCTCCCCCAGAAAATGTGGTGCCGTTTTGTTAAACTCATTCTGCTTTCACTTGGGTGTGGACGTAAACAAAAGTGGAGAGCTTGGAAAGACTTATCCATAACTGAACGCGCACATGCACATTTTTTTTAATCGCCGGCCATAAATCTCATTCTGATCTGTCGTTGCCACTTAAACCCTCAGGGCTTTTGTAATTGCAGTTGTTCATCAGTTCAGGAGTTGAGCCAGTCTCTGTGCGTTTCCCACCTTCTTCCCCACAGGAATCGCTGTGTTTTAATCCAGCCAGCTCACTACAGCCCCTGCAGCGCAGAGCGTTTGGGAACCTGAGTGAGGCTCCTTCAGCACAGGTCATTTTCTGGTGGTTTAAGAGCGCAGCAGGGCCTGGCAGGAGAGTTTACTGCTGATTGACAGGAGTGACGGGTCTCACTAACAGTACTGCCCAGAGAGGCCACTGTTGCTCGGTAACCCCAGAGTACCATGGATACAAGCGCTACCCTCAAGGTGCCCGATTGGCCTATCTTGGAGAATCCTGGTCCTGTTAACCAATGACATCTGGATCACGGGGCTCAATTTGAAGAGTTTACTAGGTGGGTCTTCTGGGGGTGGGGGCAGTCTCTGTTTTTGGTTAATGAGGAACTTTAAAAAACAGCGGTGCACGACCAGACCTCCAGAGCTGTCATGCCACTCATCCTCTTGATTGCCTGTTTGAACTAAATATTAGTTTAATTGAATTGGTTTGTTGTGTGAACAAGGTGCCAAAAAGGCTCATTTTGACAAACGATTTGAAAATCCAGACTTGGGCGATGACACAAAAATCATCCCTGGGGAAAATAAAATTGAAGAATTCTTCTAGAACTCCACTGTATGTGAAAAGCAGTTTGTATGATGCTGGTTAAAATCACAGTTCTCAGTCTGACACAGAGCCTGCCGCCTCCCATGTGTAACCAGATGTAGCTTAAAAATTTAAGTGTTTTAAATTATTATTTTTCCATTTAAGTATGTGGCATCAAATCACAGCGCGGGGAGAGAAATTGCCTTGCAGATGCTGTAGTGTGTGGACAGAGAGGACCGTGCTGCATGCAAAACCAGTGCAGTTGAAAATAAAGAAGCCTTTTCCATAGGAACAAGAAATTTAACATGTATGAAGTCAGCAATTAAATATATACATAAAACTGCCTGGTTATAAGAGCAGTGAGCTGGCATGCTGAGAGGCAGGAGTTGGCTGAGTTTTTTTATAGCCGCAGTTATTTGAGATGTAAACAGAGGAATCTTCCTCAAACATTGCCTTTTTAAGGCTTCTCGGATTTGGAGAGGAATGACCTGTGTAGCAGTTCACTGAGCTCACGAACGCAGCCTGCCTAACAATCGCATTACATTTCTTTTACAGTCTCGTGCTCTTTCCCAGATCTCCTCCCCCCCACACATACACTCCTGCTTGTCTAAATTTAGGTTCTCATGGCAATTTGTCTGAGAGCGCTCCTCCAAGGGACACGCAGTGCCTCGGATCACCAGCACCTCCATCCCTGTCCCAGGACGGTGTGAGTCCCGGGGACGGGGGGGGGAGGGTTCGTGCTGGAAGTGACCGATGGGACAGTGAGTCTTCCTCTCTGCCTCCCCTCCGCTGGCCTTCCTTCTGACCAGTCCCGCTCAGTACTTCCAAAGCGAAGTCGGTCTTCGCTTTCGAAACCGGTGTTTCTCAAACGTGGTCCTCTACGGGGCGATGGGAAAGGGTGACCCCGCAAAAAAAAAACCATGGTCACCCCACTCCCGAGCCGGTCACCCCAGTTCGCCAGGCGAACCCCAGTTGTCTTCATGGCCTCAGGAAGATGGTTTAACCGGTGCAGTGAAACGAGAGTTAATAAACCACATTAGGAGCTCAGCAGCTGCAGAAGCCCCTGCAAGAGCTGTAGCTCGTTTGTATCTCTCACATTCGCTTAGGGGTAACGTTAACATGATGGTTCTGAATGGGAGACGTGCGGATTAAACAAGGACCGTCCCGTCCGGAGCGCCGTACCAACTGGCATCAACTTCCTTAAATGTGTGTGGAAGAGAGAACCTTTAGAACGTACAAAAGGGGGCAGACGTGCCCTGGACCTGTCCTTCATGCGCTCGGCAGGGAGATCAATAAAACAAGAAGGCCTGTTCATCGTGGAACACGATTCCAAGACGCACCATTTAACTGGAATGCGGATCAGTGTTTACCCAATAGATTTTCAAAGAACGGAGCCCCATGGGCCCCATGAAGGTTTGTGTGTTGTGAGAGCGA